GCAGACTGGTGCAACCACTGTGGAGAACAGTATGAATTTTCTTCAAAAAACTAAAAATGAAACTCCCATTTTACCCAGTAATCCACTCCTAGGAATATATCCCAAGAAGCTAGAAACACCAATCAGAAAGGATATATGCACCCCTATGTTCATAGCAGCACAATTTACAATAGCTAAAATTTGGAAACAGCCTAGGTGCCATCAGCAGATGACTGGATCAGAAAACTATGGTACATCTACATAATGGAATACTATGCTGCCATAAAAAAGAAGGAATTCTTACCATTTAGAGCAACCTGGATGGAACTGGAGAACATCATGCTAAGTGAAATAAACCAGTCAATGAAAGAAAAATACCACATGATCTCACTCATTTATGGATATTAAAGAACATTATAAACTGATGAACAAAAAGATAGATATAGAGCCAAAACCGGTGTGGCTCAGTGGATAGAGCGTCGGTCTGCGGACTGAAAGGTCCCGGGTTCGATTCCGGTCAAGGGCATGTACATTGGTTGTGGGCACATCTCCGGTAGGGGGTGTGCAGGAGGCAGCTGGTCGATGTTTCTCTCTCATCGGCGTTTCTAGCTCTCTATCTCCCTCCTAGTCTCTTCCTCTCTATAAAAAATCAATAAAATATATTTAAAAAAAAAGATAGATATAGAGACAGTAAAGCATCAAACAGATTGTCAAATTACAGTGGGAAGGTTAGGGAGATAAGAGATCAACTGAAGGATTTGCATATAAGCATAACCAATGGACGCAAAACATTGGGGTGTGAGGGCATGTATAGGAGTGGGGTTGGGGGGTAAGATATGTACACATATAATATCTTAATTAAAAAATGAAAAAAATTATTTATGACCTTTATGTTGCCAAATCCCACAAACTTAAACTCATAAATATATTCTTATATTAGTGGATCACTCTTTAAAATTTCGTACTGTCAGTAGAAACTTTGGAAACTTTCTACTTCTTCAGTTTCCATAGTATTGGAATCATCTGATTATTCCAGCTGATTCCAATGATCAAAGGATCATTCCCTTATCTCTTTCCAGAGATATTTTTTCTCTAACTACCCCTTACAGGTTGGTATCCTCACAGTTCTATCCTCAGCCCCCTCGTCCTCACATCTAACACAGCACTTGTGTGATTCCAACAACTTTCACAGGTTAGCTTCCCCACTGTGTGAACCATCTGCAGTCCAGAATGCAGGCATGGCCCAGTCCATCCACTTCCCATTGGATATACAACTAATACTCATAGAGGCATCAATCTGTACCTAACATTCAATCTGGAAACACTGAAACTTATTCATATAGCTAGTTTATGAGTTCTTTAGGCAGAATAAATTTTATTTATTTATTTAATTTTTTTTTTACAGAGAAGAAGGAGAGAGAGAGAGAGAGAGAGAGAGAGAGAGAGAGAGAGAGAGAGAGAGAGAGAGGGAGAAGAAGAAGAAGAAGAAGAAGAAGAAGAAGAAGAAGAAGAAGAAGGAGAAGAGGAGGAGGAGGAGGAAGACGAGGAGGAGGAGGAGGAGAAGATTGATCAGTTGCCTCTGGCATGCAACCCAACCTGGGATTAAATCCCACAGCCTAGGTTTGTGCCTTGACTAGGAATTGAACCCACCACCTTTTGGCGTATGGGATGGTGTTCTAAGCAACTGAACCATACCGGCCAGGGCAGGGCAGAAGGTTTTATTTACATTTATATCTTCCTAGTCTCTTACGTAATAGGACCTCACCCATACTGGTTGACCAGTTGGTGGACTGACCAACTGAGTGAGTGCTTTACAGGTTTAACCCCAGCGCTAGTTTAAAAACACATGCATTTTCTTCTCAGGTTCCTGGCCTGTGCCCTTTGGGGCTACATTCAAACCTAAGATGGTGACATCCGGGTTTTCTCTCTAGACTGCTAAGTTCTCTGATGATCCCTCAGGAGATGGAGACCCCATCTCTCTCATGGGCCACTGCTTCCCTCTGACAAAGAATAGTAACAGGCTTTATTTTTACGCTGCTTTCTCTGAATTCCAAGGTGATAGCTGAGGTAGGCTCAAGGTTGTGGATCCCAATATTCTTGTCCCATGCTGGTGGCCTTGAGTCTCTCTCCAGGATGCTAGGCCCCCTAAGCCGCCCTTACCTTGAAGAAGAGAGATTGCCAGGATGAGGCCGGCCAGACGCTTCCCCTGCTCCATGTCGGTCTCTGTCCTTCTCCCACAGAAACACTGAGCAACCGCTAGCAGACAGCCAGCCTGCGCAGAACTCGCCTGGCTCCACCCAGTACCCTTCAGGCTGGGGTCCCTGTGAGAAGGCAGGAACTCAGAGCCTCCGCCCTCAGCTTCAAGTGTGGCCAGCTGGGGCTCAGCAGGCTGCAGGTGCAGATGTCCTTGCTCTCCGTTAGGGAGAGAAGGGTGGGAGGTGGCGTGGCAGGGGAGAGAGCTGGATTCCCATCGCAGAGAACAGCCTTGGGTGCTGGGCAGTCCACAGCGTGGGCCCCTGTCTCCACGGGGGAGATAAACATCGCTGACACTCCTCGTTGCTGGTATCATAGCCAGCTGTCGCTTATTGCTAGAACTAACAAAGGTGGGAACTCTTGGGTGCTCAGGGCTGGAGATTTGACAAGAGCCACTTCCCTCCGGGTCCTCATTCGGGAATTTTTTACTGTCCTTTTGAGAGGAGATCATCAAAGGGGTATCTGCTTGGAAGGAATCGACAGACAATTCCAACAAGACAGGCCACGCATTGCCAAGGCCCAGGGACTGAGTGAAGCTCCCGAGATCTCAGGCCCTATCTCTGACAGAGTCAAACACTTAATATAGTCAGTGGATCGACCAACACTAAAGCAAGTACAAAGATTAAAAGGCAAAAGCGGAAGGTCAGCCCTGGTTGCTGTGGCTCAGTGGATAGAGCGTCCGCTTGCAGACTGAAGGGTCCCGGGTTCGATTCTGGTCAAGGGCACATGCCCAGGTTGTGGGATTGATCCCTCCATAGGGGGCATGCAGAAGGCAGCCAATCAATGATTCTCTCTCATCATTGATGTTTCTATCTCTCTCCCTTCCTCTCTGAAATCAATAAAAATATATTAAAAAGTGGGAATAATTACAACAGTAAATTAAAGGATACACACAAGCACACAAAGAAAAACTAGTAACAACATAAATATGGAGGGGGTGAGTAAAAATGGTGATTTTAGAAAGTGTTTGAACTTAAGTGACCATCCACTTAACATGGACTGCTGTAAGCATGGCTTGGTATATACCAAACACATGGAAACCATAAACTGAAAAATCTACAAGAGATACACAGGAAATAAGAGGTACGAATCCAGATACAATACTACAGGAAGTCAACAACATGCAAGAGGCCCGGGGTGGGCTGGAAAAGGTCAATGGGGGAAAACGGGGACATATATAATACTTTAACGATAAAGATAAAAAAAAAAAATACAAGAGAAGGGAGAAGAGAATAGGAAGGAACAGAGAACTACAAAAGCAGTCTGAAAACAGCAAGTAAGATGGCAGTCACTGCTTACCACGGAAAGAATGAAATCTTACTATTTACAATGTGGGTGGACCTCAGGGTACTGCCCTGGGTGCAGTGAGTCAGACCGAGGAGGACCAGGGCCCCATGGGTTCACTTATATGTGGACTCTCAAAAGCAGAATACACAGACCTGGCCAGTGAGCCACAGTTGGTTGGAGCATTGTCCTTGCTGAAGGATTCCTGGTCAGGACACATACCTAGGCTGTGGGTTTGATCCCTGGTCGGGGTGCATATGGGAGGCAACTGATGATGTATCTCTCTCATATCAACGTTTTCCTTTCTCTCTCTTCCTTCCTCTCTAAAATAAATAAAAAATAGAATAAACAAACAAAAAACAAACAAACTCATAGATACAGAAACAAACTGATGATTGTCAGATGGGAGAGGGGTTGGGAGGTTGGACGAGATAGGTACAGGGAGTAAGAAGTACAAATTGAGCCCGACCCGCATGGCTCAGTTGTTGAGTGTTGACTTATGAACCAGGCGTTCATGGTTCAAGTCTTGGTCTGGGCACAGGCCCGGTTTGAGGGCTTGATCCCCAGTGTGGGGTGTGCAGGCGGCAGCCGATCAATAATTCTATCTCATCATCTATTTCTCTCTCCTTCTCCCTTACTCTCTGAAACTAATAAAAATATATTTTTAAAGAAGCATAAGTTGGTAGTTATAGTCACAGGGATGTAAAGTACAGCATAAGGAAGATAATCAATACTATTGCAATAACTGTGTGGTAACTGCACCAGGTAGGGCCACTCGGTGAGTTGCACACACACCCATCCACTCTCTGTGCACCTGCAGCGGGCACAGCGTTGAATGCCACTTGAAACTAAAAATGAGAAAGAAACAGGAGCCAAACCAAGCCTTGTCGTGGTACGGAAAATTCCACGGCTGGCCCGGCCCAGCGGGAGGCAGGGGTGGAGCTGGGGTTCGAGGCTCTGGCGGCCCCGAAGCCCACCCTCCGCTGGTACGAACACGCGGTTGCTGTCCAGCTGCTCAGAGAAGCCGTGGCAGGGTCCCGGGAAGCCCGGGCGCGGGGACTCCGTGGCGGGAGGGGGCAGCTTTGGGGGTGCACACATGTAGCTGGCTGCTCACAGGAACTCTCAGGTTCTTGTTTTCCTTCAGTGACCAGGAAAGGACCGCCCTCAGGCTCCTTCTACCTCCCGGAAACCAGGCAGCCTTCCCCCCTTCTCTGCTCCCCTTCACTCCACCCCTGCTTCCTGCCCAGAGACAGCACTCGCACCTGTTTCCTTCCCACCCACCGGAAGCGGGCACCCCACAACCCTATCCTCAGGCAGAGGGCAGAGAAACAGGCCTTCTGGTGCCACCTCCCCTCTGTCCGTCTGCGAGTCAGCTGGGAGGCCGCTCTCCGCCGGCAGCCTGTGACCTGTGACCTGTGACCTGTGACCTGTGACCTGCTCCTGCTCCAGCTCCTGCTCCAGCTCCTGCGTGGGTCCTGTGGAAGATGGGGCGCGGCAGGTTGCTGGCCGGCCTGGCGCTGGCCGCCCTGCTCTCCCGCGGTAAGGCTTCTCCAGCGGCAGCACCGGGGGAGGGGGCCCGGAGGGGAGGGGGCCCGGAGGGCCGCTGCCCCTGGAGCGAGGCCCCGTGCAGGTCCTGGGCGCCGGCTGTCCCTGGGCAGGGCTGTCCGGAGGGGGTGTGGGGTGGAGCGCCCGGTCTGGGAAATGGGCGTGTGGCTTTGACCGGCCCCATGAAGGGTTCACCTTGGCCTTGAGTGCTTCTCCGAAGGCCCCAGGCCAGAGCCCTGTAGGAAGTGGGGGGAGTGTGCCTGAGCCAGGGCTGGCGATGGCAGCTCTGCTCCCCAGGGCAGACGGCCTCCGGCGTCCAGGCCTCTGACCAGCCCACGGGGCAACGCTTGGAGAGAAGCGCTCGCTGTAGGCTGAGCAGAAGGGCGGGCAGATTTGGGGAGAGAGCGACCAGCTCATCTCTGTTGGCCTGGCTCCTGTCCCAGGAGCCCCTCAGTCCCAGGGGACCCGGGATGGATGGTGACCCAAGGAGGGAGGTGCTCAGTGGAAACGTCCCCACCAGGACAGGCGTGTGGGATATGAGAAGCCTCGTGCCCCTCTCCCCCTGAGCACACACCTGTGTTCTGGGCCTGCTTTGGAGGCTCTGGGCTTTTCTAGACGGAGCTCTTGTATCAGGCTGGTAACGGAGTGCTCCCTCAGGGGGAAGGTGGTGCTACGCTCCCTGGGATTGGGGGACAGACCGCGAGCTGCTCTCGCCTCGCCACGCAGTGGGTCTGGAAGGTGCTTGCCTGCCCCCGCCCTCCTCCCCTTCAGCACAGCTAAAACGCTCCATGGGTTCGCCCTGGGTTCCTGCTGGGCCAAGGGCGGGTAATTCATCCCTGCTTCTCTCACCCCCACCATCTCTCTCTGCTGTTGGGGTGAGGAAAGGGGGAGCGGACGGGGGTGTTGCAGGTGGGCTGGGAAGCAGAGGTGGAGGTTTTCCGAGAGGGAAAGGCAGCCGTCTCCAAGCAACGTGCCTCTGCCTGCTCAGGCCTCTGGGTGCGGTCTCGGCTCTGCTCCCTCCTGCTTCCCTTATCTTTCTTCGGATTGATTGCTGCTGTGGAGAGAATTGCCAGTGCTCCCTCTTCCCTAGCTGTCACCACCCTGTCTGTCTGTGGGTGATTCATATGAGTTCTTCAGTGCATCTCCCGCTCCCCCTTCCCTCTGAGGTGTCAGTCTGCTCCCCTCCACTTCCATCAGTGGTCTGGGTTCATTTCCAGGAAGGCCCTTAGGAGCCCGCCTCATGGCTCCTCCTGTGCTCTTTGTCCACCGGGGCCTCCCCGCGGCCTGGCCCACATGCCGTGTCCTTCCTGGCCCGGAGGCTCACGGGCAGCCTCCTGAAGCCTTTATCTGTGACTTCTCTTGGCAAGAAGCCATGGGCTGGACTGGAACTGGTCTTTCCTGAGCCTGAGCCTCGGCAGGACGAGGGGTCTGGGCAGAGTGAGGCGGTGGCTCCAATCACAGTGTCCCCCTCAGTGAGCCCCTTCCTGCAATTCGTGGAGGAACTGGAGGACAAAGTGTTTCTGAATTGCACCGGCAACATCAAGTGGCAGGAGGGCACGAGGGGGAGCCCGCTCCCGGACAACCAGACTCTGGACTTGGGAAAACGCGTCCTGGACCCTCGGGCGGTGTACCAGTGCAGCGGGGCGCAGGAAAACGGCGCCCCACACACCCTGCAAGTATATTATCGAAGTGCGTGCCTCCTGGGCCTTTGGGTTGGCATGGAGGGAGCCTCTGGATGGGAGACTTCCTGGCTGTGGCCTGTGGTGGGCCAATCTGTTTTCTAAACAAACTGGGGGTCCTCTTATGATGGCCTGAGCCAGACTCTGGGCCCTCAGAGCCGAGGAAGAGAGAGCAGGAGGAGCCGGTGACCCCAGCACAGGGCTCCGTTGGGAGAGCGTTTGGCCTTCGCCTTGTTTAATTTCCTGTGAAGCCCAGACTGCTGTGGGCCCTCCTCGGGGACGCGCTGGGAGGAAGAGTAGAGGGGGTACAGCAAGGCCACCAGCAGGCCTTTCCCCGAGGGCTTGGCTGGAGAGCCTGGGGCTGCCCCAGGAGGCAGAGGTGGCTTCCCCGTCTTGGAAGGCACAACATCCCCCGCCCCCCCGCCCCCCGCAGTGTGCCAGAACTGCGTGGAGCTGGACCCCGCCACCCTGGCCGGCATCATTGCCACCGACGTCCTCGCCACCCTGCTCCTCGCTCTGGGAGTCTACTGCTTTGTTGGACACGAGACTGGAAGGCTCTCCAGGGGTGAGTGGAGGGACAGAGAGGGTGTGTATGGTGGGTGTGCACCTGCTAAGCACTGGGGCTGAGTGGGTTGTGACTCCCTGGGAGTCCCTCTCCTAAGGACTGTTACAGCTGGGTATTGAAGGACGGGGGTGCCCACGTTGCTCACACAGACTTCCGAGGCGGGGACCGCCTGCAGCTCCAAGGGAGTGTCCCAGGGTTGCACCCTGCGCCGCCCCCCGCCCCCCCTCGGCCCTTTCTAATACGCTTTCCTGGCCCTTCCAGCTGCTGACACTCAAGCTCTACTGAGGAACGACCAGCTCTACCAGGTGAGCCCTGGTGAGAGGGATGGGGTGGGGGTGGGGGGTGGGGCGATGCAGAAGCTGACACTAGGGTTAGTGCGTGTATGAAGGGTCCTGGCAGGGAGTTCACTGGGGGTGGGGTCTGGAGAGGCCAGGCACCAGCTCTCAGCACTGACTGGGGCCCCTCTCCTCTCCCAGCCCCTCAGAGACCGGAACAACGCTCAGTACAGCCACCTGGGAGAAAGCTGGCCTCGGAGCAGGTGAACGGAGACGCATGGAGCACCAGCTGCCGACCGTCCCTCCTCCTCCCGGCCCGCCAATAAAGATGTCTTCCTCACGTGGCGGCTCCTGCGCTTCTCAGAGCCCCGGGCCCAGGCCCAGGAGCCGCCCGACTTGGCAGGGTCCTTGCCCTCCCTGCCCGCGTGTCCTCCCTTCACCGCTCCCCTGCCTCTGGCCCCATGGACCCGGTGGTGGCGATCTCTCATCACAACTTGGCTCGCCGCCGGGGGCTCCTGGGGGCAGGTCCGCCCGCCCCCGCCCTGCTCCCCGGCTGCCTGCGGCCTCCAGGCAGCCCCAGCGCAGCACTTCCTGAGCTTGGGCTCCTCACCACAGGGAGGCGGCCGCTGGTTGGGGCCCAGCCACACACAAGTTTCCATGACATCACGAGCGCAGATGGCAGAGACATCAAAGGCCCTGGGACTCACCTCATGTGTGTGGGAACGTCCCTGCTGAGGGACTGAGCTCTGCGAAGCCACTGGCGTGAGAGGTCTCAGCTCAGGCCGTTCAGTACCTCTTACCCTCCTCCCCCAAACCTGCCCGGCCTCCCTGCATGCACGCCGTCAATAAAACACACCGTCCCTCTCCGCTCAGCTGCAAACCTGGAGCTTGAGACTGGGTGGGCGTTTAGGATGTTTTCTTTTTTGTTGTGGTTGTCGATCCTCACCTGAGGATATTTTCCCATTGATATTTAGAGGGAGTGAAAGAGAGGGGGAGAGACACATCAATTGGTTGCCTCCTGCACGTGTACTGATCAGGGCCAGGGATCTAGTCTACAACCTAGGTACATGCCTTTGACCGGAACTGAACCCAGGACTCTTCAGTCCACAGGTCGATGAGCCATCCACTGAGCCAAACCAGCCAGGGCTAGGATGTTTTTAATAGAGTGGCCTGTGGACCGAAGGGTTTGATTCCTGTCAAGGGCACATGCCTGTGTTGTGGGCTTGAACTGCAGGAGGCAGCTGATCAATGAGTCTCTCTCATCATTGATGTTTCTATCTCTCTCTCCCTCTCCCTTCCTCTCTGAAATCAATTATATATATGTTATATCCTCTTCAGCTGGTGGGTAATGGTGATTCTGAAACCTTGGGAGCCTAAGGGACTTATTGCAGATATAGACACGTGGGCCCAGCCAGTGTGGCTCAGGGGTTGAATGTCGACTTGTGAACCAGGAGGTCGTGGTTTGATTTCCCGTCGGCATGTTTGGTCCCCAGTAGGGAGTGCGCAGGAAGCAGCCAATAGAAGATGCTCTCTCACCATCGGTGTTTCTCTCTCTCCCTCTCCCTTTCCCTCTGAAATCAGTAAAAACATTAAAAAAAAAAAAAAATAATATAGACCCGGGAACCCCCTGCCAGGCATGCAGTCTGCAGGTGATTCTGAAACAGCCCCAATTCGAAGAGCCTCCGGTGCAGAGGAGGAACTGAGCCCACTCACCCCTTGTGTTCTTTGTGCCTGTCCTGCCGGCACAGTGGCACTCCCATCCTGCTCTCCGAGTGAGATAACTGGACAGACTTCAGGACAGTCAGTGAGCGTGGGCGTCCCATAGACCAGGACTCCCCCAAAGAATGGACTGGCACCCACACAGCCAGACCTGAAGAGGCTCACTGTCCTGGCTCTCCGAGCTCTGGCCTCAGGCTCCGTGGAGGAGCCACCAGCTCTGTCAGGGGAGCCCCGACGAGAGAGATGGGGGTGGGAGGAGGGGTGTTCTGCCCACTGTCTTTTCAAGACACACACAGACCAGCGCGAACGTCCCTTTCACAGCACAGGCTACATCCATGGGTTTGTTCTGCCTGTGCATCCTCCTCACCCTAGATCCGCCTTCGCCTCGGCTGCCCCTCCGCGGCTCCATGGCCCAGTGCTGTGTCTGCGCACGCCCTTTCCCTCATTCCTCACACACGGTCATGTGTGTCTCTCACAGGCTCCACCCTGGCTGCACCTGGGATCTCCTAGGAGCTTTAAAGGGTATGGTGTCCCGGTGATTCCACCCGATATTCTAATTATTTTCAAATACGTTGTTATTGCCCTAGCCGGTGTGGCCCAGTGGAGAGTGTCAGCCTGCAGACTGAAGGGTCCCCAGGTTGATTCCGGTCAAGGGCACATGCCAGGGTTGCTGGCTTGATCATTGATGTTTCTGTATATCTCTCCCCCTCTCTCTTCTCTGAAATCAATAAAAATATATTTAAAATTTTATTTTTATTGATTTCAGAGAGAGAGGGAGAGAGAGAAGGAGAAGAAAAAGTAGGAGGAAGAAGAGGAGAAGGAGGAGGAGGAGGGGGGGAGGAGGAGGAGGGAGGGAGAGAGATTCTTATTTCATTGGTCTGGGCATTCGGCCTTAAGGTGATTGTGGTGCGCAGCCAGGGTGAGAGCCCTGCCCTCCGCCTGAGCACTTCTGGAACCTTGCGTCCCGTTTGGCCCTCGCGTGTGTGCCTCAAAGAAGCAGATTTACTGAGGCAGGCGGGCTGAGTGTATTTAACTGTGAGATTTGGTAAGTTTTGGCACACACACTGTGAGACGTGGCTGCAGGCAAGATAATGCAATCTCCGCCGGCAGCCTCCCGGTGCTCCCTGCGGCGTCCCAGCCCCCCTCTGCTCGCCCCCGGCCTTGCTGACCTGCTGGTGGCCATTGCAGGCTGGCGTGCCTCCCAGGCTGACATAGATGACACACTGTGTGACAGTGCCCTTTCGGTCTGGCTTCTCACACTCGGAGTAAGGACCTGAGATCACGCTTCTTGTCGCCTCCCTCCGCCGCCGCCGCGCTCCCTCCGCCGCCGCCGTGCTCACGGCTCAGCGGCGTTCGCCTGTGCGGACATGCCTGTCCCACGGTTGCTAGTCTTTTGGGTTGTTTCCTGGTTTGGGCTATTACACACAAAGCTGCTGTGAACATTTACATACATGTCATTGTGTGGACCTGTGCTTTTGTTTCTATTGGAAAAATACCCAGAAGGGTTACACTTTAAAAAAATATATTTCTACTGATTTCAGAGAGGAAGGGGGAGGGAGATATAAACATTAAAGATGAGAGAGAATCATCGACCAGCTGCTTCCTGCAATGCCCCACACTGGGGATCCAGCCCACAACCCGGGCATGTGCCGTGACTGGGAGTCGAACCATGACTTCCTGCTTTGTAGGTTGAGGCTCAACCATTGAGCCACATTGGCCAGACTGGGATAAATTTTTAAAGAAAGTAGTATGACTATTCTAGTTACTTTGCACTCCCATACAAATTGGCTTCTCATATTCTGATTACAAAGTGCCTGATGGGATTTTGATTATGATTGCATTGATTTTTTTGGAGTATTTTTTTTTATTAATTAGTTTAAGAACTTTAGCTCATAAGCAAATTTTCACATGATCCAGAACACAGCACTCAAATACCAGGAGAGACAAAGATCTTTGCCATACTTTGTAGATCCATAATTACTACTAGGCCCACCATCCCTTATATGAAACTTTTTGGCCAAATAAGTTTCAGAATTCAAAATTTAAATGTTTTTTAAAATTTAAAAAAACCTCCCTAGACATGTTGGGACAGGATAAGAAAACCATTCCATTGCCTGGAAAAATGGAATTTGCATCGTTCACCCTCAAAAGACTGCTCCATCTTTCCTCTTACCAGTCAGAGCTGCCTAAGGTCAGCAAACCAGCCTCTGGGCTCTCCTCCCTCCCCCTGCCCCTTCTGTGTTAGTCAATCTTTTGTTCTCCACCACTAACTCTCCTTTCCCTGGTAAGTCCCCTCCAGTTTGTTAACTTTGCCCCCTGCCCTGATGCCACATGCCTTCTGAATTGCATTGGATTTATAAATAATTTGGGAAGAACTGACATCTCAATGATATTGAGTCTTCCAATCCACAAACATGTCTTCTGTCAGATTTATCCTTAAAGGGTTTTATGTGTTTTGCTGTTATTGTTTATGGTATTGTAAACATTTAAATGCCCAGTTGTTTATTGGTGTACATAGAAATACAGTTGCTTTTGGTATATTGTCCTTGTACACTGAATACTTCTTCAAGCCAATTACTAATTTCAGCAGCTTTTTGTAGACCCCACTAGATATTCCATAGATATTCTATAGACTGCTGGGAATGAAGGCAGTTTAGCTTTTCCATGTCCAGCGTGGATGTGATTCGTTTCAGCTTCGTGCCCTGGCTCAGCCGCCCGTACACTGTTGCACGGGAATGGAGAGGGGGCATTTTTATTTTTGATCTTACAGGGAAAGCGATGTCTTCATCGCTAAGTAGGAGGTTGGCTGTAGGTTTTTCTTAGACACCCTTTGACAAGTTGAGAACATTCCCTTCTCTTTCTAGTTTGTTGAGAATTTTTAGTGAAAATGGTTGTATTGTCAAGTGCTTCTTCGGCATCCATTGAGATGTTTATATGATTTTACTTTACTGAAAAAGTAAAACCATATAAATTATAGATTACATCGGTGGCATGATCTGTTAAACCAACCCTGCATTTCCTTAGGTAAACCGTACTTGATCACTGTGGTATTTCTTTTGTATTTTTTTTTTTATAAGTTTTAATTGTTCATATTATTACAAATGTTCCTCCCCCCCCCCCCCCACCATTGCTCTCCTCCACCAGGTTCCCACCCCACCCTCTGCCCTTTCCCCTCTCCCCATTGTCCTCATCCATAGGTGCACAGTTTATGTTCAGTCTCTTCCCACGCCCCCCTCTCCCCTTTTCCCCAAGAATCGTCAGTTCATTCCCCTTCCATACCTCTGATTCTATTATATTCAATAGTTAATATTGTTCATCAGATTTTTTAAATTTCCTTGGTTTTTAGATTCACTTGTTGATAGTTACGTATTTGTTGTTCATAATTTTTATCTTTGTTTACTTTCTCTTCTAAAAGAACCCCCTTCAGCAATTCATATAATTCTGGTTTGGCGGTGATGAACTCCTTTAGCTTTTTTTTATTAGTGAAACTCTTTATCTGACCTTCGATTCTGAGTGATAGCTTTGCTGGGTAGATTATTTTTGGCTGTAGGTTCTTGCTATTCATCACCTTGAATATTTCTTGCCATTCCCTTCTGGCCTGCATGGTTTCTGTTGAGAAGTCAGCTGACAATCGTATAGGTGCTCCTTTATAGGTAACTACCTTCTTTGCTCTTGCTTCTTTTAATATTCTCTCTTTGTCTTTTGCTCTTGGAATTTTAATAATGATGTGTCTTGGTGTGGTCCTCTTTGGATTCCTTTTGTTTGGAGTTCTGTGCGC